AATCGTACGATATGTTTAATTATATTTTTTGTGTTGCTTTTTTATTTTTTGCGTAAAACACGTAGATACGTAAGAATATATAAATATTTATTATTTGATTTAGAACTTTTTACTCTGAAACAAAACTGAACATTTTCAAGGTTAACACTTGTGACGCAGATAACAGTTGTAGTTAATTTATTTTTTGGACTATATTAGATGATAAGGAATTTCAATAATTTTTATTTTTTATTAAGAGTGTGTTTTTTTTTAATGGAATTTCAAATCATTAATAAATAAAAAATAGAATTTTTTAGTTAAATGAATTTATTTATCGAGCAAGTAATCGATTTAGTAGTAATTGATAAAGCTTTGTGTGGTGAATTCTTACTATAAAATACTATATGCTCACTATATACATATATACATATATAGACATTCGAGTGTGTATAACATATATAATTGTTTGAATCCTTTTTATATAAATTTTTATTCAGAGATTTTCTTCAGAAATGTTTCAAACTTTGTGGCATTATTTTTTGATAATTATTATTCAGCTGTTAGTATTGTCATCTTTGCCCTTGTTAATTGTGTTCTTTTTATAATATATTATTTTCGTTTTTAATGCGTCATCTATACATTTCATTTGTGTTGAGTCGTTTTGAGGAACAAAAGAATTTTAGAATAAAAATAATGCAAAAACTATATACCAACAACAAATGCAGCATAAAACTGTAACAAGTTACCCAGTGTTTCAATTTTCTCCTGATGGTACCGTTTTTCTACACTGTTGGTTGTTGTTACTGGATTCTAGCTTACTATAGGTCGCCAAAATGGGAATATTTCATAATAAACACTGTTCAGCTGACTGACACAGGGCAGTCCGTAACCCATACGGACTGGTTTTATCTAAGCTAGCTACACAAACAATTAATCGAAAAATTGTTAAAAAAAATTTAACATCTAAACTTTACAAATATGTTAATTGTTTTCAAATACTGAATCCCAACCAATCATCTTGAAGGTTTTTTTTTTTGGCTACAACATCATCTACAATTTTTAGCCTATTCTAATGTTAAGGAACAGCCCGAGCTGCGATCAAGATGGATACTCGTCATTATATTAGATATAATGATATATTAGATATAATATATATTAGGATTTCATTTACAAAAACTTCTAAAGATTATTAGCGTGTAATAAAACAATTATATAATGCGGTGATATATGTATATATAATGTATATATACATATACATATGATAATGTATATAATTCTACACTAAACAAAAAATGATATGAATTTCTTGAATGAAATAATAAATTTAACTATATAAATATTCAAATTGTTAGTTATTAATTTGTTTTAATTCTTAAAAGTGTGTAAATTAATAATATTCAAATTTTTATTAACCCACTTCTTATTAACTAATATAAATAACCATTATTTAGGAGAAATCAAAAATTCTCAGACGCTAATGTTTTCACAATATGATTCACTTTGCACATGAAACTTCACCGAAGTTCAAGTTTACGGACGAGTTCACCTTCTTTAGATGCTGGTTCTCAAAAAAAAAAAAATTGAACCGAACCAGTCAACAAAATATTGAAGACCAAACATAAATATGAAAATGTGTGCACATTCCGCCGGTAAGACAAACCAGAAATTAAATTGGACCAAAACGGGTAACAAGTTTTTTTCAGTAAAAAAACGGAATTAATCTGCAAGTTGCATGTCTGATGGAAACTCATTGGGTTATGCAAGAATAATAAAATAAAAAAAGGATACATAAAAAATATTGTATTGTATATAATAGAATTTTTTACCTTAAATAATGAATTGGAATTCCATAGCTTGGACAAATGTATAATTAATTTTCTATATATACTTTGAAATTAAATTATTTATCTACACAATAAAAGATAAAAAACACATACCTATAGGTCAATGATCCTAAAAAGTGTATTCTTATATTATAAACTTCATTAATCAAATTTTTTTGTGTTTATGTTTTTAATTAGCTTCTTTTGAATATTTTAATTACATTCTATCACTAAAAATCCAAACGAAAATTTTTTATAGAAACTAGCAGTATATGAAGATAATAATATGATATGTGGTTTTTGATCTTTAAATGCAGGATCAGGCAATGAAAATGTTCCAAGATGCACATGGATTAATCAAATTAAAAGAACTGATCTCTTTAAAAGAACTCTACAATAAATGAATACTTCTAATCACTCAGAGCTAAGATATAATTGCTAAAACAATATTTTAAACCTTCTGAAAGTTATAGTATAAACTGCTGCAGTTTTTATTGTACGCTTTATTAAAATATACTGTTTGATTAAAATATTTAATCAATAACAAGGTTGTACATCATATTTGTCATCGCTAAAAACGAATTGAATTGCAAGAAAAATAAAACCTTATACTATTTCTATTGATAACCATCAATAAAGAATTGTGTCATATATAAGAAATTTAAAGTAATGGAAAATTATACATTTATTTAAAATTTTCAAAAATAGGTTAAATATTAAATCTACGATTTATACATTTTAATATATTAACATGCGTTACTCAAGTTATTTCCCGATATAAATATAGAATCTTACTAGTATTCCTGAAGAATCCAGTTTTACTAAAATTAAATTTACCAATAAAAATCAAAATTGGTTTTTTTAAAATATAAGTTTCACAAAATCTTGGTTCTTAACTGTTTAGAAAAAAAATATATATAGGATATATATTTATATATATATAAAATATATATTTATTTATATGGTATTTAAAAACTTATTTTTATATATTTAAAATACATACATATATATTTACAAAATCTTGGTTCTTAAATGTATAAAAATATATATATTTATATATATGTAAAATAAATATTTATATATATTTAAAATACATATGTTTATATATTTAAAATATATATCTATATAGTTGCTGAAAATAGCTAACACTACTAAAGTTCATTAACAATTCAGCGCGTGCGGTTAATCGGTATTATTCCAATGTTTTTAATTATTTAAGTATAAACTTTTTAGTTTATATATCGGTACTACGAGAAGTAGCCCATTGATAAATCGGTGTGCCAGGGAAAGCGATATCGTTGCAGTATTTTAAGTTACTTATGCATTAACCCTTTAAATATACATATTCAAATTCAGCAAGTATTTTTAATTAATTTAATTGAAACTAAGACATTATATTAAAGCACATATACACCTATAAAAAAACAAAAATATATACATACATATTTCCCAAAAGTCAAATTAATTAACAAGTCAAAGACACATTGTAATTTGCTATTAATACAGATACAGTACCATAGTTAATGTTTTTTCATGAGTTCTCAGTAATAAACGAGAATCACGCATTGGGCAGCGAATCATGTGACGTAACCCGCTAAATAATGCCAAATAACAAAAGTATTTCAATTAGCAAATGGGACGCGCAGAACCCGTATAGAGAACAAAACAAAATTCCCAGGCAACAATAGGCCACATACAAAAAGTGCTGACGTAAATAATTTCTTTACATAATTTCAGTGAGAAATAAAGCCATACGTTTTAGAATAAAATTGTACTCAAAATGTAAGCATATGTTAAAATAATACCATGCCTTGCATATTATTATCATATTATATCATTGTTTACATTCTCTTATCCATATCACCATTTAGATACCGGCATCATTTTCGAAGTGCTACATTTTTTTTACATTGTATGATGACAACTTATTATTAACAAATAATGTACGAGTATTATTTAATAAAGCTATAGTACTCAGTACTCAATTGTGAGATTTTTACGAACCTAAACAACTATTTCGATACATACATATAAAAATAGTGAATGCATATCACATACTACCACACTTACTATTTATATATAAGAAATAACATTTTGTATTTTTGTTACTTATTTATTAGGAATCCGACTGTCTAATTTTGATATTTTTTTATTAAAAAAAAATCATTAATAAGCGTACTTAAAATAGGTATAGAGCGCAACGTGTTTGATGAACAGTGTAGTGAACATTAAGAAATTGCGAGAAGTAACAGCAACAGAACAAAGAAACACCAAAACAGCGTTGGCAACGAAAGATCAATACTTACTGTAAATGAAATACCAAGACCAAGTTCATTGAAGCGATAAAAACAAGACTAGTATTGTTATAAAATTCAGTACTAAATTCTTTAAATATGCTCTCAATTTAATAATATTATTAATACTATACTATTATTAATGCTATTATTCTAATAGCAAGTAGTTGACTTTGGTAATTAAGTCATATCATAAGAATGGACGAAAGAGTTCTGGCTACAAAACTATTTCATTTTTAATACACTATTAAAAAATACGGTGGGACATATCCTCAAATTCGGTAGATGGTAAAAATCGGTACTTGATCGGAAATAAAGAATATAACACAAACGACAACTATGTCTATCTGTCATTATAGTCATTAGATAGTACCGACCATTCGAAAGAATTGTAGTTCTAGAATGCTTGTATAGCCAGACACTGTCCGTTTGCAACACATTATCATAAGCTAAATGTTGCCACAGTGAAAAATACAAAATGTACGAACCAGATATAAAGTATCATAAGAAAAATGTTGCCAACAGTGAAAAATACAATACTTGATTTTAAGAACTCTAATATAATATCGCTTTAGATCTATCAAAGCGATCTACCTGTACAAGATAGACCCGCGCTATTCTTGTATAATAAGTTAACTAACGAACCTCTACTTGATTTTGAATTGCCACTAACTACAGTATATTATAAGAAGTAGTCAGAAAGTTATGTGCTGAAGAAGATTTAATGAAGTTACGCGTGAGCGATTAGAAGTTAGTCGAGTCAGTTAGTAAAAATTAGTTATGAAAGCACTGGTCCACCCAGGTGCGGTACGCTAAGAAAGAAGCAGTCAGAAGTTATGAAAAACTTTTAAAGACTCTAATATAATATCTTGTCTAATCAGGTAACTGATGAACCTCTACTTACTTTTGACTTGCAATATAGCATATTATAACAACCATTTAGGAGTTATGCAAAAAATACCGAATAGGGTAATGGTGTGATCTCTACTTGACTGTACACGTATTATATAAATACAGATGCAAACGGGTTCAATTTGTTGCTGAGGTACACATTAGCAATAAATAGTAATAAAATTAACTTTTATTTGTATATTCAAATTAAATTAAATAAATAACATATGTACAAAATATTTTATATATATTAATGTCAAAATTATGCACGAAATTATAATGTGGGATCCATTCACTTGCTTTTGCAGCGTAATAACTTTGAAACGGTTAATCAATCCCGGTTGTTCTTCTTTTTTGACAGCTGATAGTTTAACCGATCTTTGGTAAAATTTATAAGGACTTAAACTTAAAAGTTCTATATATAAGTTTTTATACAAATTTAATATAAATATGAGCAAGCAGTATCTATAAAAACAAACGTGACTCAATAAATTTTATTACAGTAGTGGCTAATTTTTTAGCTAAAAAAAATAGATATACAGATGTGTTTCAATACTTATATATGTTGGTATAAACCAGTCGTGAACTGTTATTTCAAAAAATAGTAGATAAAAAATTCTTATTGTTTTAGTTTATACTTAATATGCCAACAAAATTTATTTATACATCGTGCAGTGTTTATGAGAACAGTATAAACATTTATGTTGCCAGGTACCAGTAATGTAGATATGTATCTATCTACATAGATAAACAATTTCTACGAAGTAGCACACGTTAAACTGTTAATTGACACTATGGTAGACGGTAGACTTTGAGAACCCAAAAAAACACGTTTCCAAATAGCGACTACTGGTTTAAACTTTATTTCAAAAGTTTGTTTTTAAATAGTACACCGACAAAAATATAAATTTCAAATGAATGACTAATTTTGCATAAATCATTATATTTTATTTTTGAATTCATCATCATTTAGTAACAAATTATAACAAAGTTGTATATTGTACTTGATAAATAATTTCATATATTTTAAATATACAAAATAATGCATTATTATTTCATGTTAGCGAAATCATTTATTAACATCACCCCAGCAAAGAATTTATCTGTACTTCAACAATATAAGATTAGCCAACAAATTAATCATAGAATAAAATTATATATTGTATAAATAATGTTAGTCTTATCAAATCAATAGTTGATTAACACTACGCTGATTAATAGGGAAAAGTGCAAATATTTTCCTTCAAATACTCGTACTTATAATCAATAAAATCATTCGATTTTTATTATACTAAGCACTATAATTATATATTGCACTTTGTAGATACTCTAAACTCCGGATAAGCATTAACTACATGCTTTCAATCTTATGTGCGAATATAATACCAAGAAAATGTAATACAAAATAATCTTAATATTTAAATTATTTTATTCTAAATTTATTGGCTAGAAAATTTCAAGGTAAGCACGTGAAGATAACAAAGAACGCATTTGTTTTGATCAAAAAAAAAAAGAAGTTTTTTAATTGCTTATTATTAAAGTCTTTAATTATTATCAATTATTCCGCGTAAGTTATTTACTAGAAAGTTTTGTTATCAAAAAAAAGTTGATAATCAAAAATATGTATATTTAATATTTTACTATATATTCATTGAGTACAATAGGTATTCGCTATTTAAAACATAATATTTATTGTTCAGATAAGAGCATTTTAAATTGTTTTGATATAATTTTAACATACCTAATCATAGAGAGGCCAAGATTCAACTAGGATCGTTGCGCCATTACTGTTTATGAAAATCACATCATAGATCAACATTCAATTAGAATCGCCTTTAATGATGACATATATCACATCATATATAGTGTGGAATTCTTTTAAAAATATATGCATAAGTCTATGTACATACATGCCTATATTACGTACTGCTATATAGATTAGGTGAATGAGAGCAAACCGTCATGACTATACACAGATACTAGAATTTTCGAAAAGCTCGTACTGGAAACTAGCAATTCTCGACTGAACTATACATCAGTCTAATAATAAATCGTATTAAAATAATGGATTACACCATTAAATAATATAAATTATGATTATAATTTAAAATTATATATTATTTCGAAGACCTCGTACTGAAAACTAGCAATTCTCCACTGAACTACACATCAGTCTAATAATAAAATGCATAAAAAGATTGGATTATACCATTTAATAAAAAATATAAATTATAATCAAATCACTATAATTATGAATATTTTCTCGACAAATATAAAAACACTGAGAAAGAAACTAAAAAAATAAATCAATTGTCACAACGATAAAGTATTTATATTCACGTGATAACAATATCTTGACTTGCAAACTTTAACTATATAAAATTCCGCAAAAACTTAGTGATGAATTCATATTAAAAGTTTGCAGTTTTAAAGTCTTATATCAAAGTCAATAGATTTTATCAACGTATTTGTTGAAAGTCTATTCGTAATCCACAATATATGTATACTTAATAAATAATAATAAATTCACTAAAAATTTTATTTTAATTAAATATAACATATTGAAATTATCTTTAAATTAAATTAGTTTTTATGTATGTTAAAAATAAATAAATTTATTTAATAAGGACAACGAAGAAAAAATAGATATCTAGCCAATTGGAATAAGCCCAAATGCACAAAATTACAAAAGTACAATGCATAAATTTTTCACAAAATCACATATCAGCAAATAAAAGTCAATGTACTTTAAAAATCATCATTCGATTTAAGTCTATTTATAAAATACAACATTAAAACCAATGTAATATGTTAAATAAAAAGAAGAAAAGAAGTTATTTCTGGTTTTTTCCAAATTTTCAATACCCTTCACACATATACATAATTAAACAATAAATCAAAAATATACTAAATATATTTTTGCTTAAAATATTCATTAAATCAATCATAGATAAATCAATTTCAGTCATACATCAACTTAGGTCATCTCATTAAATTCGCTTTAAATCATCTTATAAACAGGACTGACAAATAGATAGACTAATATTATTAAATTTCTTCATATTAATATAATTATATTACCCAGGAATACAGTTTAAATTATGACCTAAAAACTTCTACCATTTTAAGATTGTATAAGACTTATATACATAATTGAAATATAATTAAAATTATCAGGCCTATTCTGAATCGCAAGGGAATGCGAGTTTGTTCGCTGTTCCCAATTCCCCTATTCTGAATAAATTTGGTATGTTCCCTGTTCCCAATTCCCCTATTCTGAATCGCATGCGAATGTGAGTTTTTTCCTAATTTTGCACAAATTCTCTCGCTACCAAATTGTTGGGGAGACAAGTTAAAAAAGTATTAAAAATAGTTTAATTTAATATAAAAGTAACTAAAAATGATCAGATTATTGAATATATTTTAATAAAATTATTATTATAATAAAATTATTACAATTAATTTAATATTTTCAAAGTTTTATTTTTTGATTAGTTTTCCGAATATATTTCAATAAATTTAATATAACAAAATTTTCATTTAATATATTTTATTAAAATTATTATTTTAATAAAAGTATAACAAATTTGAAATATTTAAATTTTTATTTATTTATTTTATTCACACGGGTTTTTTCCACTAATTAAAGTGTTAACTATTGTTAACAATAGAAAAATGAAAGGAAACCAAATTCTGAAATAAGTGGATTCCTAGAATAAGTTAAAATAAGTTAAAACTGCAATTATGTTCAGGTAAAACATTGCTTCTTTTTTATTGTAAGATCTTTATAGGTATAAACTAGTATTAGTTCATTAATTTAAGCATGAAGGACATTTTTATCCTAATTATATAAAAAAAAGTAAATTATAATTTACGCAAATTTTGTATAAAAGCAGTGAATGTTTGAAAATAAAGACATTGAAGAATTGATATCATAACGTAAGGTTGTTTTTTAATTAGTTTAAAAAAGAGTTAAAAATTTAGAATTTAGCATTTGGTTTATTTTGCTCATGCATAATTCTTTTTATATATTTATTTTACTCATTAAAATAAAAGTTTCTAATTGTTTATTATTTACTCATAAAATAACTTATATTTATTTCCGATAATTTGTGCAGCAAACAAATAATGCGATTTTTACATTTAAATCAACATATGATACGCAATTCTTTTCTTTGTTTTGCTCATTTTCTCACTTTTCGTCATTAAAAAGTGGCATGGTTGCCAAAATTTAACAAAACAAATTTGAAATTGTTGTTGTTCACGAAACTGCTGTCTCCCTAGCGATTCAGAATAAGGGAGCTGTGTGTTCGGGAACAGCGTGCGAATAGGGAGTTTTTTCGCTGGGAGTATTCAGAATAGGCCTGTATATCTTTTAACTTATATACAATCTATCTACAATCCTATATTAAAAAATAAGCTACATCGCATGACTTTAGACTCAAAAACTATAATAAACCCCTTATAACAGAATTGTCACGTTAATCTAATTATTTTTATATGGGTTAAAATTAAGCCAACTAAAGATCTTCTTAGTTGATAATAGTTGATCAATAGATACATAAATGGGTGCCCTCCAAAAACAACAAAAAAATCTTCAACTTATAAATATATAAAATATATGAATATAATAATTTATAGAAAATATATATATATAAAATATACATATTAATTATATATATATATATAATATTATATATATTAATATACATAAATTTATAAAATACATATAATAAAAAAATATATTATATAATACAAAACAAAATATATATATTATAAAATATATATATACTAATATATATATAATAGTACAAAAATATATATATAAAATATATATATAAAATCTATATAAAATAGGTTAATAATATATAGATTATTGCAATCAATATAGGGATTACAATAAAATAAAAATTACAAAAATTTTATAATCATAATAAAATCTAAAAATAAATGTACCAGGAAATTATTATTAGCAATTATTTTATAAATAAAGACATTTAGAAAGTTCGACACCAAATTTTTCAGCCCGATTAAAGCACGTTCTTAAA